GTGTGTGTGTGTGTGTGTAGGTCACATGCCTGTGAGTATACATGCAGAGGTCACTGAGGGAGTGTCCTAGTCTCTCAATGTCTACCTTAGTTCTTTGAGACAGGGTCTCTCAGCACACTCGGGGCTGGGCAGGCAGCCAGCAATCCCCAGCGATTCTCCTGTCTTTGACCCCAGTGCTGGGATTCCAGGAACGTGTTCATCTACATCTGGATTTAAACTCACATCCTCATTCGTGCACACCAAATGCCTTTATCCAAGTAGGAATAAAGAATCCAGCTGGCCAGCTAGCCCCGGGAGCCACGTGTCTCAGCCTCGCACAAGCTAGTGGTATAAGCACTTGCACACACCAAGTTTTGGTTTGAGTGGGTTCTGGGGAAAGAAAATTTTATTTCTGGTTGAGCATCTTCTCAGCCCAGACCCTGAGTGTTCAGTTCACCTATTATGCTGCCTGACCTTGGGCTAAGTATTTCAGCTCTTTTCTACCCAGCTTCTGCAGAGGTCAGTCCACAGGGAGCCAGCACATCCTGCAGACCATGCCAGGTAGCAGCACACACGAGCTTTGCGCAGTACTTCCTGGCACGCTGTAGATGGTCACTAAGCCAGAAGCCTCTTCCTCTTTATTTCCTGTTAAATCACATTCCTGCAGTAATTCTCGGAACGCAGCTGGAGCTGGCCAAGAGTCGGGCTTCCATTCCTGGAACTAAGGAGAACCCAGCAGGGATGTGGGTCGGGTCCATCATGGGGAGGATGCCTCAGAGAGTCGCTGCTGGAGACTGTGCAGGACCGGAAGTGAGGGTTGCCAGAGGAGGAAATGCAGAGACCAGAGCAGCAAGGCACTACATGCAAGTTCACAGGGCAGCACTCAGCAGCCAGGCTGCAGGGTGAGTGACAGGCAGGGACCAAAGGAAACAAGCAAGGTCTAGAGGCGGAGCGGAGAGAGGTGGTTCAGAAAAAAAGGTAAAAGGGGTAACGGTGTTAGGGCCCAAAGCGAGGCCCAGCCTGTTGATTTAAAATACACTTAAGTTTAGTAACTAAACTATGGCTGGGGTTGGGTTAGTAAAGGACCTGAGTTTAGGTGCCAGAACCCACATAGAAGCTGTTCTGTAGTGGAATTGGTAAGGCCAGAAAGAAGGGCTTGGGGTGGCAAAGTCAGGTGGATCCATAGAGCTAGTTGCCTAGCCAGTCTACCTACATCAAAGACCCTGTTTCAAAATATTAGTTGGATAACTTTGGAGATGACTCAATGGGTAAAGTGATTGCTAGGCAAGCGTGAGGACCTGAGTTCAAATCCCAAGACTCAAGTAAAGCCAGATGTTGTGCATCTGTAATGCAGCATTCCTACAGTAAGAAGGGAGGCAGAGATGGGAGAATCCTCAGCAACGCATCAGCTAACTAGCCTGACATATACGGAGGAAAAACAAGCAAACCGAGAGACTGTTTCAAAGTAGAAGGTGAACCTACACCTGAGGTTGTCCTCTGAAGTCTACATACATATAGTGGCATATACATGCCTACACTCACCCACACACACATTATACACACACATAGATAGATAGATAGATAGATAGATAGATAGATAGATAGATAGATAGATAGATAGATGAACAATAGAAAGTGATAGAGTAGGAATTTTGACATTGACCTCTGACTTTCACTTGTACATGCACACCTCTCTCTCTCTCTTTATACACACACACACACACACACACACACACACACACACACACACACGCACACACGCACGCACAAAGACACTAAAACTAGATTGGATCTAGGACCTGATATCTGTTACCCTCAACTAGTCTGTAAATCATTCTTCCTGTCATAGAAGCCCATGGAACGGGAGAGGGGGAAGGGCACAGTGGGTTCTGGGGGCCTGGACATCATTAATCATCACCATCTCTCCCAGGACAAGGCAGTTCAGTGTGCAGCAGCTGGGGGTGGGAAATCCTTCCCTGGACATTCTCCGCATCTTATCCCACAGTCCAGCAACACTGTTGCCAAAAACGTCACCACGGAGTAAATCTAAAGACAAAAACTCGCCGATTTGTTTGATGCAGGAACTCTGGGGGGGGGGGGCTCTTTACTCAAGAGTTGAAATTACTGCGTTGATAAATGTTTGTCTGCTGCTGCCAGCTGGGACCAAAAGGGTGGGGGTAGAATTTGATCCTCCGAAGAAATTCCTCCTAGATGTCTCTTAATCTAGTCTGTGATCAAAATGCATGCTGTTGAAATACTTAAACTCTTCCTCCATGTTGTCATCCATCTACATATGAATTCATCACAAAGGCCAGATGTAGGGCGATGCAGTGTCTGCAGATATTATCAGGAAAGATTGCAGCTAGGCGGGTAGCTCAGCGGGTAAGAGCACTTGCTGTGCAAGCATGAGGACCTGAGTTCGAATCCCCAGCACCCAAGGGCATGGGAGCAGGCATGGCTGTAAAGCCAGTACTGTGGAGGATGGAGATGGTAGGATCTCTGAGGCTCGCTAGCTGCCAGACTAGCTTCAGTGAGAGACTCTAAGAGGATAAGCTGGAGAGGGAAAGAGCAGGATTCTGCATGTCCCCCACCATGCCCTTCACAAGTGCACAGGCATACTTGAGCCCATATGGACACACATATGTACACACACACATGCATGCATAGGGCACAGATTCCACACACAAACTCACACACCAAAGGGGGCGGAGAATAAGGAGAGATTATCTTATTATGACATACACAGAAGGTACTTGGTCAGCATAATAAATGACACTAGGCTCCAAAGCGGGTGGGGGGGCATAATTCAGATTTTCTTCCTTCATTCTTCAACAGAGCTCAAAGGCCATTGGATTTCAAGGCCGAGCAAGCACATGTGGTTTTGCTTAGGGCTTACAGCAGCAATGATGTCCAGGCTGTTTCTCAGGGACCTGGCCAGTACAGCTCGGAAGAGCTTGGGTTTGCAACAGTGTTTCAATAATTTCTTCTTTCAGGAGAGCATCCTGTATCCCCAGGCAGAGACTGAGGTTTGTAGCCTGCTGGGAACCAACTATAACAAAGCCTTTGGCAGCCCAGAGGATGCTGGGTCCTCCGTTGGCTGCAGTCCATCTCCTGATTTGCACATTCGTCCACTCCACTGGCTGACACACATGCCCACTTACCTATGCAAATTTAGATCCCATCGTGCAAGGCTACTGGCACACATTTCTCACACATTCATACCCCAGTTTGTCTGCACGCATACAGTTGAAAACACAGGGGCTGGGGCGATGGCTCAATGGGTAAACCGGTCACTGCAAATGGAAGAACTTAAGTTCAAATCCCCAGAACCTCTGTGCGTGTGCCTGTGCATGTGTGTGTGTGTGTGTGTGTGTGTGTGTGTGTGTGTGTGTGTCCTAGTGCTCTTATGAGGAAATAGAAGGCAGGAACAAGAGAAAGCGCTCTGGACAGTTAGCCTGGTGTACTCCACAGTGAAAAACAAGAGACCTTACCTTAAGCAAGATGGAAGGGGAAGACTGACCAATAACCTCGACTCTCCTCTGAGCTCCACATTCACACTGTGGCACATGGGTACCTGAACTGACACATAGGAAGGTCATATGTACTCACATGCGTGCGCGCGCGGGCACACACACACACACACACACACACACACACACACACACACACACTTACGATCATGTTAGTTTTAGCACCTGCCACACAGATTCTATCATGACTTTATGGCATTCATACTACAGCTGCATGAATCCTCCTCCAGACAGTTGCACCCCGTTACAGAAGTGACAGTTGCACCCCGTTACAGAAGTGGCACTTTTTAGGAGATATTATGAAAACGATAGCATCATGTGTCTCACCAGACCTCTCTAGATCACTGCATCTTAATCTCTATCAAGGGGGAGGAGCAAAGCACTATTTGAAGTGTAACTACAATATGACCAAGCATGGAAATGGGAGGCACCAATCTAATGTAAGCCAGTAGATAACAGCTGGTTCAGACACCAGCAACTTCTTTATTTTTTAACCTTTGTATTGTTGTATGATAAGGGTGCCGCATAGGCGTGCGCTCCTGTGTGCACACAGGCGTGCACTCCTGTGTGTGGCAGTCAGAAGACAACCTCCTGTGCCTGCCCTTCCATTTTCCACCTTGTTTGAGCCAGTGTCTCTTTTTGTTGCCCACCCTTGCAATGTGCCCAGAGAGCTGGTCCACCAGCTTTGGGGAATTCTCCTGTCTCTGCCTCATGTCTGGTTATATGAGTACAAGAATTACAGACATATGCACTGTCCACTCGGGCTTACATGGGTTCTGGGGATCTGATCCCAGGTCCTCACACTGGCACAGCAAACACGTTACCCACTAAGCCCCCTCTCCAGCGCACTAGTAATTTCTAAAGGTGTTCAGAGTGAAGGGGGGTGAGGACCTGAGGGTCCTGTTCATCAAACCACCCACAGCTTGGGCCTTCCTGCGTCCTTCTAGTTTGAGGATATTATTTGCTAAGAGGCTTCTATGGTTCCAAATGAGCCTTCACTCACACATTTTCTAGATTGGCCAAACCACACCTCAGAAATGAAGCAAAAATTTTAGAGCAGTTCACATAAGACCAAAAACCCAATTTAAAGACAGCCAGGGAAAGTCTTACTGGGTTATATTTGTTCTTCAATGGCTGGCAGTGGGAATTATAATTTTCTTAAATGCAGCATTAGTAACCTTTGAGCTTCCTCAGGAAGCAAGTGTAATTTTTGTTGTTGGAGATTGCTCTCTCAGGCTGCAGTAACTGGTGAGAGCTGGAATCCCTAGCTAGGGAAGTTGGAGTGGGTGGAGATTGGGGGTGGGTTGGGATGTGGGGGTGGGAAATGAGAAGTCTGGGCCCAGGGTGCTGCCTGGAATTCCAAAATGGGGAAAAGCGACCTCAGCTGCTTTCATATGGAAATTGGCCGGGAAGCTGACTTTGTCTCTGCTTGGAACCCACGCCAACACCAAGTTCAGTGAACCTAACACACTGTTCAGTCAGCCATTGAAACCCAGCAGAAGAGCAGGCAGAGGAAGAGGGGGTGGAGGGGCGAGGCTCCCCTTTCATCTGGGTTTGGTTCCGGAGGAGGCCTAAAGAGGAATTAACCCGGGACGTCATTGGAAGGCAAAAGTCCCATCCAAAGTGAAGGTGAGTTTGCCCTGGCTCTCAGTGAAAGCAAGGAAGAAAGCAAGCCAGTTGGG